CTTGTCTATTACTTAGGTGAAGTTAGTCTTCTGGACGTCCATACCTTCAAACAGACTGATCAAGACAGATAGCCAGGGGCTAGCGACAACCTTTCATTGCCGACCTCTGCATTTGATCTTGACCCTGCTGATTGTCTCCTGCTTGACCCCTGACTTGACCCGACCATTCTTCTGCCTCTGTACCACGCTGCCTGTTAGTTGCTGAACCCGGCTTGTGACCCTGACCATTCTCTGCCTGCTCCTCTGGTACCTCGCTGCCTGCACGTTGCTGACCTGGCCTGCCTGACTACTCCTTATGCTACCCTGACAATCCATCCATCCATCCCGCACAGATCTGTCCCTGTTACCAGGCCTGCCAGCCTCTTCACATCAGGCTCTATTTCCCACACACCCCTGACGGTGCTCTCTACCACTGCCCGACGTACTCAGGGGTTGCGACCTGGTCTCCGTCTGCTCCAAGTCCATCCCCACCATCAGGGCCCTGGTGAATAAGCAGATTGGGACTTAAACCCTGCGCCCTGAGGAACCCCGTGCTCTGGGTTGCTAGAGACTCCGCCAGGCGGTGCATGACAGAGCTCCTGGACAGTCTTAGGTAAACCATTTAGCGTCAGATGGACTGAAACATGATATCCCAGAGATGTTCTATTGGATTTAGTCAATTGAACATGGGGGCCATTCAAAGGTATCAATTCCTTCATCCTCTAGATACTGCCTGCATACTCTCACCACATGAGGCCGGGCTTTGTCATGCACCAAGAGGAACCCAGGACCCACTTCACCAGTGTAGGGTCTGACAATGGGTCCAAGGATTTCATCTCCATACCTAATGGCAGTCGGGGTGCCATTGTCTAACCTGTAGAGGTTTGTGCGTCCCCTCCATGGATATGCCTCCCCAGACCATCACTGACCCAGACCCATCACCAAAACAGTCATGCTGAATGATGTTACAGGCAGCATAATGTTCACGACTTCTCCAGACCCTTTCATGTCTGTCACATGTGCCCAGGGTGAATCTGCTCTCATCTGTGAAAATCACAGGGCCCCAGTAGCGGACCTGCCAATTCTGGTGTTCAATGGCAAATGCCAGTCGAGCTCTATGGTGCCAGGCAGTAAGCACAGGGCCCACTAGAGTACGTCGGGCCCTCAGACCACCCTCATGAAGTCAATTTGTTTCTGATTGGTCAGAGACAGTCACACCAGTGGCCAGCTGGAGATCATTTTGTAGGGCTCTGGCAGTGCTCATCCTGTTCCTCCTTGCACAAAAGAGTACATACCGGTCCTGCTGATGGGTTAAGGACCTTCTATGGCCCTGTATAGCTCTTTTAGAGTAACTGCCTGTCTCCTGGAATCTCCTCCATGCTCTTGAGACTGCTGGGAGACACAGCAAACCTTCTGGCAATGGCACATATCAATGTGCCATCCTGTAGGAGTTGGGACTGCCTGTGCAACCTCTGTAGGGTCCAGGTATCGCCTCATGCTACCAGTAGTAACACTGAACCTAGCTAAATGCAAAACTAGTTAAACATTCAGAAAAGATGAGTAGGGAAGAAAATATCAGTGGCCTCCACCTGTAAAACCATTCCTGTTTTATGGTTGTCTCATTGTTGCCCATCTAGTGCACCTGTTGTTACTAACACCAAAGCAGCTGAAACTGATTACCAACCCCCCTCTGCTACTTAACTGACCAGATCAATATCCCAGGAGTTTAATTGACTTGATGCTATACGCTGATTAAAAAGTGTTCCTTTAATTGTTTAAGCAGTGTATAATAAGTGCCATGAGAGGACTGCCTTGGAGAAGAGGCTACACTACTAGAAGGCCACTGTGGATGATGTAGGGTGCTCTGTTGATGGAAATGGGGCTGTATGTTGGGTCAGTGATAAGATGCGGTTGGCATAGGTGGTGCATCATATTGGAATTAGCGATATGGCCTTTTTGGGGGATCCCCTGGGAGATTACTTGACAAAGGATGTCATGCAATGGCAGCTCTTACACAGGCGCCTGTAAAGTTAAATATTGTCACTGGTACCGCTACTTGCCTCTCGATAGTATATGTTTTGGAGTTATGCAGCATTGGCGGTTAAGATCATTAAATGGATTTCTCCTCTCTGCATGAGGTTCCTTCATGAAGGACAACATGGCTGTGCCCATCTCCTGAGTTTCAGGCCCTCTTCCCTGGCAAAAAGATCTGGATGTACTGGGTCTTTGAGGATGAAACTAGAATATAATAATATTTAACACATATGTCAATTTCCTAGCCCTACATATTTTAACAATTGTGTTCACGTGTTGTGTTATTTGGATCTTTCAATACAGTATGTGTTATATGTGTATGTGTGTGCTATCTGGAACAAAGGGCCAGTTATATTTTTCATAATGTTATATACATAGTGCTATGAGATTGATTCTGCTCACTGTAAGGATGCCTTTGTTTACATGTGAAAATGGTACTTATGTATAACATACTTACATGCACATATTGTCCTTCAATTCTTGAGCTCTGTGAACCCCCAGGACGTAGCGACTGTCCTTCTCCCTCCTGTGCGAGTGATTAACCACCTTCCTCCTCTCCCCTCTGTGATGATGGCTATTGTACTATAAGAACGAATGGCATATGGTGGTTGCTCATATGGTAAATTAAGTTGATCATAGATGGATTAAGATTTGGTCATTTGAGGAAGGACCAGCTGAATTTAGATCAAGGTGTGCTTGATTTTTACGTATGAAACTTATAATCTTGGGTCCATGACGCCTTGTAAGAAACTGAGCATCTCAAAGTACACATTTCTTCTAAGAAGCAGCTCTTGCACCACTCTGACTCTCCAAAGCCTCCTCTTTTAAATCTCTCTGGAAGTGGTCCCTTAGAGAGCACCATCTTGTGTTCACATCTTTTCCTGTAAGACACAATGCACAGAAATGATTCTATTCTATAATCTAAAAGATGAGGTTATGGTGACTAAATAGATATCCAACATATTAAGACTTAAAATGTTAGCCACAAATAGATGGCAAAAAATAACAGTTCCCCAAATTAATAGGTGACACTTTAAAAGCTCATACAGGTCATTAGTTTAGAGTTATATTTAAATGATGGGCCTATAATTATTGATCTCACATTTGCATGCGAGCATATTGCAATCAAATTTTTTAGGACTTGTTGCCCCCTTTGTTTATACTGTTCACACACAAACTTGGGCTTCTGGGTTGAGAGAAGGGATGAGAGAGTTATATTATATTTAACCCTAACCCTCTTAGAGGGACAATTGAAGAGTGTGTAGTGGAGCCCTAAGGGTTAGGGTTTAACCCTAACCTAACCGTAAGGGCTCTACCACACTCCTTCTTCCAATTGTCCTTCTAAGGGGAGTTATGGCAATTTCACACTACTGTGGTGCAGCTTTCCAGCACCATGGCTGCAGTGCAACTTATCCATGTGTTGCTTGAATCTGGTTAGCTGCATCTTCCTAAAGTATTATAGTGTGTCTCCTGCATGCTGCATCTTTGGTGCACTCTCAGAAAGCGTACCAAATGTGAGACACATTATAGCCCTATGGGAAAGAACAGATAACCCTCTCTAAATATGCAGATAAGCTGCACTGTGGGAAAACTACACCCCAGGATTATGACCGCAGGCGTAGGGTTAAGGCTAACTCAAATGTCTTGGTTCATGTTTGGACCAATGAAAGAATACATGGAAAATGGATGACCACTAAGAATCAATTTTAAAAAAACTAGGCTGAAAATTTAAAGTGAACTCCAAGCTAATATTCTCTGTAATATTACCTGTGCCATGTACAACACAGGAAAGACACAGCTGATCACATGATAGAGCTTGTGTCATCGACTCTTTACTGTGATTGGTGATCTGCTGTGTCCACAGTGGGGAGTAGGGGTGTAGTTTGTAATTCCCTGGGACACCCTAAACATGTGATTTCTTTGATGATTTTACAAACAACTGTTGCAGACTGATAATCTGTTTCATTGGTGGACATCGATACTCCCTAAGTAAGAGATTCCTCTTATCTTGGTCTGGACTGTATGCTCATGTTCTTTTCCACTGGCCTCCTGCAAAGTCTTTGATGTCATTTTGGGTAAATGTCAAATCAAGAGTGTTAGATTCAATATTATAACTTTCAATGCTGGTCTATTTTGTATAATTTCAGAGTTTTTAAACTTTTTCTCCATGAAGAAGCAGGCTGTATCCCGCAAAACACGTTGGAGAATATGTCAAGCATCTACTTGTAATAACTATGCCAGTTATGGAGAATAATAGTAAAGCATTTTCTTGTACCAATTATGCTAGTTATGCTAATTATTATAAGCTATCCAAAGCCTCATTTTGTACTAATGTATATCTATTGTGCTTCTTACCAACCTTACAAGCTTTTTAAGAATAATGCACTATGCACTCAGCTTTTTTATTACCACATCAGTGATTTGAATTTTATTAATAAAGTTGTATTTACAATATAGTTTGAAATTGTATTTTGTGGTATGGTGCCTTTAAAACCCCATTAGTTTTTTCAGTTAGGGATGGTATCTTTTTACTATATTAATGGTTAGTATGGATTCACAAAAGACTGAAGCTGTCACAAAAATCTGCTTTTTTTATGAGAAGATAAGCAAAAACCTAGAAAATAGAGTGGCTGTGGAGCTAGTATACTCTGACTTTGCAAAAGCGTTTGACTCATTTTCCCACACAGCTAAAGTACAAAATATACAATTCCATACAATTAGAAAATTCAATTTCTAAATGGGTAGAAAAATAGCTAAACTACTGTATTCAGAGAGTAGGAATTTATGCTTCATTCTCGTGATGGTTTATGGGTATTGGTGGTGCATCCTTACTTTTGGGACCATTCATTTTTAAAGTGGTTGTAAACCTTAGACAAGAAATATGAAGAAAGCATATTCCTCTATAGCAGGGGTATTGAATTAAAATTCAAGGAGGTGCGGTCACTAAAATTTTCTTCTGGCCAAGGTCTGAATAGGATGTGCCTATCAGTGTGCCCCCTTACATTACGTGTTGCCATCAGAGTGCAACTTTACATCCTGTATTACCATCACATCAGGTGTGCCCATCAAAGTGCTCTTTTACATCAGTTTTCCCCATTAGAGTGCCCCTTTACATCAAGTATCCCCATCACATTGCCACCTTACATCAGGTATTCCCGTCAGAGTGCCCCCTTACACTCAAAGTACTCCTTTCTATCATATTTCCCCATCAGAGTGCCCCTTTACATCATATTCCCCATCAGAGTGCCCCTTTCTATCACATGTGCCCCTTTCCACAGTATGTGCTCTGTTGACATAAAATGGCCCCGTCAGAATGCCTCTTAACATAAAATGTGCCCATCAGAGTGCCCCTTAACATAAAATAAGAGGCATGCTGATGGGCACATTTTATGTTAAGGGGCACTCTGATGGATACATTTTATGTTAAGAGGCATTCTGATGGACACTTTCTATGTTGTGCCTATCAGAGTTTCCCTTAACATTCAATGTGCTCATCAGAGTGCCCCTGTAAGACTACACCCTACCTTGAGGGCAGACAGGAGCTTGCCGGGATCCTTGCTGGACGCTTGTGTACAGGCAGGGAGCGGTAGCCGGAGAGACTATAAGCTGGAGTCATGTTGCCATGACAACCGCCCTGCTCAGCAGCGGATCTGTCATTGCGGGCTGGTGGCAGTGCTGATGGGGCCATTCATGGACCGTGGTCTGCCATTTAGTGACCGCTGCTCTATAGTGTATGCTTGTCTTAATCCAGAGCACTAAGTGTCATTTCTGTCTGCTACTTTGTTCCTCTGCTATCAGCATAAGTCATAAATCAGTGGACCTGTCGGCGCAGCCCATCAGTAGACTTGTCAGTGTACCTGTCAGTGCAGCCCATCAGTGTAGCCCATCGGTGTACCTGTCACCACAGCCATCAGTATACTTGTCACAGAGTCGACAAAACTGCCGCCCATCAATAGTTTACCCCTCATACAGCAACAATCACCAGAGCCACAATGCCCAAAAAATATTTTACTAGTGAGGAGGCTCTCAAAATCCTCCGCATATTCGGAATACAAGCTAGTAGAAAGTAGTGTGTGTCAGTGACAGAATCGGAGGAGGAAGCAATCCCTCCTAAAAGGATGCGCCGCTCTGAAGAGCAGGCAATCACAAGCAGTGCCATACACCCCAACGGTCAATCAGCAGACACCAATGGCACTACAGGTGAAACTCGAAAAATTAAAATATCATGCAAAAGTTCATTTATTTCAATAATGCAACTTAAAAGGTGAAACTAATATATGAGATAGACTCATTACATGCAAAGCAAGATAGTTCAAGCCGTGATTTGTCATCACTGTGATGATTATGGCTTACAGCTCATGAAAACCCCAAATCCACAATCTCAGAAAATTAGAATATTACATGCAATCAATAAAACAAGGATTGTACATAGAACAATATCGGACCTCTGAAAAGTATAAGCATGCATATGTACTCAGTACTTGGTTTGGACCCCTTTTGCAGCAATTACTGCCTCAATGCGGCGTGGTATGGAAGCTATCAACCTGTGGCACTGCTGAGGTGTTATGGAAAGACCAGGATGCCTTCAGCTCTTCTGCATTGTTCGGTCTCATGTCTCTCATCTTTCTCTTGGCAATGCTAAATAGATTATCTATGGGGTTCAGGTCAGGTAAGTTTGCTGGCCAATCAAGTATAGTAATCCTACGGTCATTGAACCAGGTTTTGGTGCTTTTGGCAGTGTGGGCAGGTGCCAAGTCCTGCTGAAAAAAGAAGTCAGCATCCCCATAAAGCTCGTCTGCGGAAGGAAGAATGAAGTGCTCCAAAATCTCCTGGTAGAGGGCTGCGTTGACCATGAACTTAATGAAGCACAGTGGACCAACACCAGCAGATGACATGGCTCCCCAAATTAACACAGACTGTGGAAACTTCTCACTGGACTTCAAGCATCTTGCAGTGTGTGCCTCTCCATTCTTCCTCCATACTCTGGGTCTTTGGTTTCCAAATGAGAAGCAAAAGTTGCTCTCATCAGAAAAGATGACTTTGGACTACTGAGCAACAGACCAGGTCTGTTTTTCTTTAGCCCAGGTAAGACGCTTCTGATGTTGTTTGTTGTTCAGGAGCTGCTTGACAAGTGGAATACGACATTTGAAGCCCATGTCCAGGATTTGTCTGTGTGTGGTGGCTCTTGATGCACTGACTCCAGCCTCAGTCCACTCCTTGTGAAAGTCCCCAACACTTTTGAATGGCCTTTTCCTGAAAATCCTCTTCAGGCTGCGGTCATCCCTGCTGCTTGTGCACCTTTTTCTTCCAAACTTTTCCCTTCCACATAACTTTCTTTTAATGTGCTTTGATACAGCACTTTGGGAACATCCAACCTCTTTTGCATTTATCTTTTGAGGCTTTCCCTCCTTATGGAGGGTGTCAATGATGGTTTTCTGCACAACTGTCAGGTCAGCAGTCTTTCCCATGATTGTGATTCCTACTGAATCAGACGGAGAGACCATTTAAAGGCTCAGGAACCAATTGCAGGTGTTATGGCTTAATTAGCTGATTAGAGTGGGACACTTTGAGCCTAGAATATTGCACCCTTTCACAATATTCTAATTTTCTGAGATTGTGGATTTGGGGTTTTCATGAGCTGTAAGCCATAATCATCACAATTATGACAAATCACAGCTTGAACTATCTTGCTTTGCATGTAATGAGTCTATCTCATATATTAGTTTCACCTTTTAAGTTGCATTACTGAAATAAATTAACTTTTGCAAATTTTTTTGAGTTTCACCTGTACATCCCAGGATGAAAGGCCCAGTACCAGCACTGTAATATCCCACCAGACCCTAAGAATTAGGGTCCAAACATATTTTCCTGACGCCCTGGCAAACCCTTTATGGCTGCATTCCAGCTCAGGATCAGCTTCAATCCCCACTTTCACCGCACAGCCAGGTGTGCAGCCCATTACTGAAAATATTTCTGAAATTGATTTTTTAAATGTGCTCTTCCCTGCCGATTTACTTCAATACATTGTGGACCAGACAAACCCTTTGCTCAGTAATAGCCTCCAGCTCCAGCCTCCTGACGGCCCAACCTACATTGGCACAAGTGGCAAATTTGTCTGGGACCTGGCATTTCCACTGTTCCAAAAAGGTTATCATATCTACCTTGATAACTATTATACCAGTCTGGCCCTTTTCCAGTATCTGTACCATGAGAAAACCTTAGCCTGCGGTACCATCCAAAAAAACAAAGGCCTTCCCACAAAGTTTAGTAACCACAAGGCTACAAAGGGGTGAAGTCTGAGAAATGAAAAAGTGTTGGCCATGAAGTGGAGGGATAAGAGAGATGATTGCGTCCTGTCCACCATCCACAATGACACCTTGGTGAAAATTCATGGAAGATGCGGTCCCATTCAAAAACTTGAATGTATCCACGATTGCAATCGGTTCATGGGGGAGGGAGGATTTAAAGGATCAGATGCTACAGCCCTATTTGTAAACAAGAAAGCCCCTCTTTGATGTAAAAACGTTGCAATTTATTTTTTTCCATTTGGCCATTTACATGCATTTGTCATCTATCAAAAGTCAACAGAAAGACCCACCACCTTCCTCAAATATATAGAAGAAATTATCACTGTCCTGATCTTCCAGCAAGGATCCCCCCCCCCCAGGAAACATTCGCTCTAATTGTATGAGCAGACTTCACGAGCAACATTTTCCAGAAAACATTCCACGCACAGAATCAGGAAGAAGACGCCAAAAAAAATGTTGGGTATGTAGCAGAAGAGAAGTTAGAAGAGACACCAGTGTTCATTGTCCCCAATGTCCCTCCCAACCGGGCCTTTGCATTGGAGACTGCTTCTGATGTTATCACATGTCATTAAAATATTAGTTCTCCTTTTCATCCTGCCATTTCCCAGTTTCTAAAATATGTGCTGATCATTTGCCTACTGCCTTGATTGACCATGCCTTTGCCTTTCACGTTAACTGACCGTGGCCTGTTTACTGATAATGCTTTTGCCTGCCATCTGGATTATTTCTAAACCACATTTCTGCCTTCCACCTGCACTGACTCGGCCTGCTAATCGACCTGCTGCTTGAACTGATATTTTTCCCTGCTACTGTAGTAGTGGGATTCAAGATAACACAGGGGTTTCTCATATGTGAGAAGCTTCAGTGTAGAGAAAAACAATTTTTGGTTTTCAACAGGTTTTGTAATTCACGGATCAGGGTCTGTTAGTCTTGAGGCTTCGAAAGGGATTGGGTGGCATGAAGCCTCTACCCCTGTAGCCAGGTCTTACTTGACCAAGGTTCCAAGTCTGATGTTCCTTTCTGCTGCCTGGACCAATACTGTGCTGACCATATCTCTGCCTGCTGCCTGTAATGACCCAGGACTTTTAATGGACCATGTTCCTGCCTGCTACCTGGACCAGTACTTTGGCTGTGCTGACCATATCTCTGCCTGTAATGACCCAGGACTTTTTTTGGACTATGTTCCTGTCTGCTGCCTGGACTATTCGATTGGATATTGTTGACCACATATCTGCCTGCTTCCTGGACTACTGCTCTCCTCTGCAGACAACTTCTCTACTATAATCATAGGTAATCTTCTGTTTACCCTTTGTTTAGCTAGGCTGTGAAAAAGTCTCACATGTGTGGTATCACCATACTCAGGACAAGTAGCAGAATGTATTTTGGAGTGTAATTCTTGGTATGCACATGCTGTGTTTTTAGAAATATCTTATAAATTGACAACTTTGTGTGTGACAGATGTTTACAAAATGTCAATTTTCAAAATGATTATATTCTGTGCAATAAAGAGATCAATGCTCTGTCTATGTAGATATACTATGGCTAGCTAAAAAGCTTTGCCGAGAGCAAATCCCACATGAGATGTCCATATTTGACTGCGGCTGCCTGCACTATCAGAACCAATGATGCTGCGTGCCTCGGGTGCTGAACATACACAGGGCTGTGTCCAGTATGGAAGTGGACCTTAGTGTGTAGGTGACATGACAGATGTCAAGACGGTACTCCAGTTCTGTCTAGACTCTTGGTAGCGTGTCCTCAGATATTGACTCCACTGCTTCTGTCATGCATCATTTCAGGTTGTTCAGGTTCTGTGGCATTGAGGGGACATACACTTGGTGTAACCCAACAGAAAGAGGTTGCAAGGTGTTAGGTCTGGCGATTGTGGAGGCCAGAATGACATTGGTGATTCATTCATTTTTTCAGGCATGGCAACAGTCCCTGGTCATGCAAAGTCCAACACACAAAAAGTCTTCTCTTGCTTCAATGTTGCCATCTTATGTACAT